TGTGGTGGGCTCTGCACCCCCCCTTAGCTGAGGCTTTGGTTGGCCTCGCAACAAGAGTAACACAAGGACCTCTTGTCACGATTAGTGAATCAACTGCTGTTACGCAGAACTTTACGAACACTTGTTCTGATCTTCTCCACCACCATTCATGTCTACAATTGCGATACTGCTCATGATGGTGTGCTGCTCTAGCCGGCGACGCGAGTAAAAAATCATCATTGTCGTCGTCATCTTCATCATCAGTACCATGAAAAGAATAGCTGCCACCATCACCATCGCCATACAGCCCTTATAAGTAAGCATTGTCATTCATGTCTGATGCGGGTAACTACTGCGCAGACAGCAGCGCAGAAGCCGCGCACCAATATGGGCAAGGGTGGGGTACCACAGGGGGTGGGGGGGAGACACCATGGGGGCGGTCCCGAGAGCATGTCTGTCTGCACGCCTCTGTGTACCTTGAATTAAGTACACCTTACAGAATATCCTCTACAATGCCTTTTAGGACCCCCTTAGAATACATTATAGGGTGCCCAGAAGAAACTTTTCAGAAAAGGACAATCAGGAGGAGCAGAAGATCTGAGAATGCACCCATTGAACGTTTAGCTTATTGAATAAGGGATCTCTAAGAAAGAAACCGGGAATCTAGGAGCATTGCCTACAGAATGCCTGACAGAATAACCTTTCTACCAACCTGAAATAAATTCATATAAAATACGCTGATATCTCCTAGAATACCCTGTAGACCTATATATGATGCCCCCCGGCCCGGTTCATTGCGGCTCCAAAACCGTCAATTGTCACGACGATTTCTTCTCAAACACCCCAAGCACAGCCCCAAACACGCAGGGGTGACCCACCACAAGCAACCCCAAACCCACACCACTTCACAGAGGGAAAGGGGACAACCAGCCCAAGCAAACCCAACCCCGAACCACATCACACCACAGGGAGGGGGGAAGCAACCCACAACCACACCACGCCACAGCGGGGGTGGGACGGGGGGGGGGGTGATAGCTGAAACGACACCCTTCGGAAGAGTTGATGCTCTCGAACCGCCCCTGCTTGTTGTCCGTATTCGCAATGGATACCACAGCGGTTCGATAGCACCATTTTTTGTGAAGCAAACCCTTACGAAAATCTGGTGCTATCTTAAGGTCTGGAAGTCGCAGCGGTTCCGATAGCAGGACATTTTCTGAAACGACGCCCTTCGGAAAATATGGCCCTGTCGAATCGCCCTTGTTTGTCGTCCGAATTTGCAACGGATAACACAACGGTTCGATAGCACCAATTTTCAGAAGGAAACGGGTGAGGCGACGGCACATACAGCTCCCACATTTGGCATTCATCGGACAAATAGCTTTAAGCGCATACCAGACCAATTGAATTCAATAGGGCCTGTTGAATTCAACAGGGCTGTCGGATTGAAGATTGAAGATGCCTCAGAAAACATTCCCAGGGCATCTTCAATCTTCAATCCGACAAACCTATTGAATTCAACAGGATCTGTTGAACTCAATCAATCGGGTTCACGGATTGTGCGAAGAGAATTCCAAAGACCATCGACTATCAACTATCGTATGTAGCATGTTCATTACTGCAAACGTACTAGAGTGCAGAATTCACACATACAGTGTAGTTATTCTTTAAAGCAGGGGGGAGAGGGTCATGGGCATAGTTGCATAATGGATATAGGATTTACACCGAAACTGGTGGATAACTCAGGGGGGGTACCATCCATACATATATATATATATATTTTGATATGTATCAGATCTGTCTGCGTGTATGTGCGTGTCTCTCTGTGTGTACATGCGCTGGCGTGCATACATGCCTTTGCACGTCGTACCGAACAATCATTGCCCACGATCGTGGGTTTACAGTGTATACAGTGTACAGAGTAATTACTGCATCCGTCCCACTGTCGCAGTTTCCTGGTTATTTCAGGCAGACGTCGGAGGAAGCACCGACACAAACCAATCGATGCGGGCCCTCTGTGAATCCGGCAGCGTTGCTTTATTTATTGCCAGGCTTAAACTAGGTAGTTGGATGGAATGCGGGTGTACCTCGTCTTCCATCAGCGGGTATTCGGGAAGATCATCTGGTTCTAGTTCCGCGTCCAGCGCCTGCGAACACGCAGGCAAGTGTCGAGGGTGACTTCTAACGTGTTGTGTGTGTGTGTGAGCGCAGACACAGCATCAAGACACAGCATCATGGACAGCAGCTTGGTGGCGAGAGCAAGCCCAGTAGCATGGCAAATCCTTCTGTCGAGCATGGATGGCATTTTCGGCCATCCGACATGCTGCCCAGCCTGAGGTTTCGATGGTTTGGGTGCAAGCCGCTCGTCACCGATGGAGTCGTCGAAACTTAAGCTCGACCTGATATCGAGCCACGACGCAACGCACTTTAGGTAGGGAGGCGCTTCTGATTGGGACGCTTCGCTTGTGAACTCTTGGGGAAGGGTCTCGATGTATTGAAGCCTTCGAAGTCTTCGATGGTTAATTCCTTGTCCTGTGTAAAGACAGCACTGCCTTCTGATGGCTCCAGATTGTACATTGGGATACAGCCACTGAGCCGGCTGGCATAGCCAAAACACCACAACACTGCTTTGCAGCAGAGGGGCTGCTGGTTGAATTTTGATTTGGATCCGCCTCGTAAACCAACTTCCTTCGAAGTCGGCGTAGTGGCGTTCTCGCCAATGGCATGCGATTGAGATGCATGTTTGTGCCCACCGCTACTATCCCTCAGGCTCGCAGATGTCGGGGACATACCGTCGCTGGTGATGGAATTGAAGACTTCCGTCTCCGAAATCTGAGAGGACAGGAAGACAACATCTTCCATGAGCGGTGGCTCATGCACAGCCGATGCCTTTGAATGTTCTCGAGATTGAACAGATCGCATGAGACTCGAGGCATTCATAGGGCTGACTTCAGCAGGTCTTGCTGCGGAATCTTTGGAGCTCGAAGGGCTTTGACTCAAAGCCCGTCCTTAGTTGCTGTAGCCCCCCAATCAGATGTGTAATATGCAAGAACGACAGCCAGTCGCCAACCAGGCTTCCATCGCGGCATGGCCGATCATCTCGGGGAAGCGGGATGTCGATGTCAACTCCTGGTAGGCCATTCATGTACGTCTCTACACTTCTGCCGTTCTGCGTTTTATGTACACTTTGCCGCATATTGGGCGTTCCTACACTCGCTAATTTGACAGATGTTCCCGAGCCCTCAAGAAATCTCTAGGATCAAAACCACACCCTGGTTCCATCGGCTACCAGGTTACCAATCACTGTACCTTGTGATATCTTGAACAAAACCCCAGAAGTGACCCGTCTCCACTCGAGACATGACAAGACTACAGTGACTACAGGCCGAGCAGCTCTGGTCTTTGCTCTTGCTGAAGCTCTTGCCTCGGAAAAAAGGCCGCACTTTTGCCGCCATGGCTGCCTGAATGGCTGGTTGCCAGCTATCTACAGCTTCAAGTTGGCTGGCAACTCCTGGCAAAATGCCTGCAGACACAAGCTAAGTCATGTGCTGCGCCCAGTGGACCAGACAAGGGACAAGCAGAAGTCTGACGATACGCTTGATATGATCAGTATCATCAGGCAGGAATGTTACAACCGGTGCTTTCTTCATATCTGTCGATAGCGTACGAAGTCAACAATGGCAAAGACTGCTCTGCATCCGTGGTGTGCGAATGTGCACCTAGTCATTCAAGCATGTCCTCTATCTGGAAGTTACTGGAAGTAGATCAACAGAAGCAGGTCACGAGGCAGTGACAGCATGGATTGAAAGGTTGAGAAAGATCCGTCACGCCTCAGTGCGCACGGACATGGTCCAAATTGCGTCGTTCAAAACTGCACCACGACTCCGATACAACAAACATACCACTACCACAGCCGTCCGACCACCCAGCAGCCTTAGCATGAATGCTACTGTACTCAGGTGCCGGCAGTCGAAGCACAACGTCCAAGCCCACCGGAAAAACACCGGCATGAACTTTCAGGCTCCAGGCCTGGTGTTACGACCCATGCTCAGAACCCGAGGCTTCGGTAGTCACGCCTGCAGCTTAATTATCTATGTCTGATGCACCTCCAATAGCGCAGGATGTGCCACAGGAAGAACGGCACCTTGTGCATGCGAGGCGAAGATACTTGAATCATGCGTCCAGTGCCTTTGCAACTATGGCTTCTCACGGCTACCATAACAGCGAATTGGACGCCAGCTGCATCCCCGACGGATGTAGGTTGGAAAAGATCTGTGACAAGGGATACAGGATATGAGTCCTAAAAGACCCTGGAAGTGCAGTGACAAACAGCACAGAAGCAGCTACGGGATTTGTCACTGCGGGTAACGAACACGCTCATCCCCTTGCGGAGAGCTCGTGGGATGGTAATCTGCTGACAATCTTTGTTGTCGGTCTCCAACTTCCGGACTGTGCTTTGTTTGGTATGTCCGTTTGCAGCAGATCGGGTAATCATTGAATTGCACCTTCTTCCAGTCTGACAAGTGTGCTTGTGGACATCCATTTGTAGCCGCAACTCTTTCCGAGCGGCCATATATATCACAAACATCTAATCATTCGAAGCTTCCTCGTGAAGTTTACGAGCTTGCCGGTGCACTGCAAGCCCTTTCTTGGGAGCTGTGTTCTCGTTATCGAAGACTTTGACAGATGTGACCTGTCAAAGAGCACTCGAGCCCTAGTGTGATCCAACACGTTTCCCACGCTGGGCTGAAGAGAGCAGCTGGCAAAGACCCATTGAAATCAACACATACGCGGGCTTGCGCCTTTAACACTTGAAACTTCGGGGCAGAGCAGGTGCAACGAGGATATGGGCTGGAGAATAGTCGGCTCTGTTTCTGAGCGACAAACATTTCGACAGGTAGATAGGGAGAGGCCCCACACACACATGTTTATACTAAAGCTTTCTGTTTTCAATGCCACTCTCTGCATCTGCCGGTCGAAGCACCCGGACAATTGAGACCGAGTTGCTGCGCCGCAATGTCTGCCCCACGAGCGGGTTCGGAGACAGGAGACATCTCAGGGGTGCCTTAGTATGCGGGCTGGCAGAAACACTGCAGTCACATCGACGCTGGGCGGGCGCTTGGCAGACTCGTGAATCTGCCGTCCTTCTTTTTCGCCGGCATTTCAGGAGCTCACAACCAGATTTGCGGAGGCATGGCGTCTGTAGCGTAGGTTCGTGCCATCGCTCTGTACAGCTGCAGGCAGGAAAGGCCGTCTGTACACGCGGGGCGGCAGCCGAGGCCTTAAACTCGCAAAGCTGGCGAGGGGTCGCGAAATGAACTTTACAGATGCTCCGGCAGAGTCTCGGCCCGTACGAGGCCGTCGCGGAGGAGGCTTGAATGCAACAACTAGGACTGACTAGGGCAAAAGGGAGGGGCGGCCTCAATGCAAGTGCCAGAGGAAGTTCATAAGCTCTCGAAGCGGCTTCTGCCATGCTGCCGGCCGCTGTGAACTTTGGAAAAGAAGCTTTTGGTCGACCACCTTGATGTGAATCATGATGCTCTCGGAGGTCTCCTCCTTTAAGTAGATCGCCCCGTTAACCTCTAGGTGCTTCTTCGCTGTGGGCTTGTACGTATCGAAGATCATGTCCAAACATGGCCTGTTGAAACCGAAGTTCTTCCGATGGAAGAGATGATGATCCTGATGGTACTGCTCTACCTGGTAAGGCTCCACGCGGCGCTGGTGGCCGTCTTTGTTTCCCAGCTGGTACTTCAGGAGCCGGTAAGTCATGAAGGGAGGAGGGAGCCCCAGAACTCGCACCAGGAAAATGTCGTGCATCAGGTAGAACCACTCTTCTGGGAAGCCGGCTCCACTGTGGACGTGGGCATCCCAGGCGGTCCCATCTGGAAGGTAGTGGTGCAATCGGTGCGCATGCTCGTACACACCCGGAAGGTGTTCCATCCGATGAATGTGATAGAAGAGACTCTCCCAAGACAGGACCGTCTTCTGCATGAAGTTGTTGACCAGTGGCGAGACGCCTGCCACAGCATCCAGTGCCAGCCAGGCGATGTTTAGCCGATGCCCACGGCACATGACGAGCACAAGCAAGATGTACGTCTTGGCCTGGAAGGTGCCGTAGATCATGTGGTAGAGAGTCTCTCGCAGGGGCAGCTTCTTTGGCAGGCCATCGGAACAGGCCCAAAAGGCATAGTATGCTGTCGCCGCGAAGTCGAGCAGGAGTACGATACCGATCACTGCGCTACCAATCTCCACGCTGAAGCAGTGGGGCAGTGGGATGACACTCAGAGCCAACCCAGATGCCAGGTGCCCGAGACACATGGTGCAGAAGTGCATCAGAAAGAGCATGAATGAGCAAACCAGGGAATATGGCGCAGCAACGAATTGCAGCAAACCTATGGCAACGAAAAGCCTCATGTCGCTGCTGGCCAATGCCGTGCCAATCCACAGCAAGCGATGCATCACTAGCAAGGAATGAGTGGAGATCCCACCCTTCGGAGGAGGCCCTCTCTGTCGGATGGTTTGTGCAACCGCATCGACCTTCGCACTGTACTCCTCTCTCAGCTTCTTCGAAACGACCACCACACCGGACTCGGTGCTGCTCCACAGCTCGTGCGGCAGCTTGCTCAAGGTCAGGACTCCCGAAAAGAAGCAGCACAGAATAGCGAAATTGACCTCCAGGTATCGGATGAACTGCTCCATACTTCTACCGCCGAGCAGGGGCAATGATTGATGCAGTCTCAGCCCGAGCACAGCTTGAGCCAAAAGTTTGGAGCTGAGGAGCATACAGCTTCACACAATGCGTGAATCGTATGACATGATCTGCATCATCGTCACCGTCAAGAGTTGCGCACCACTGAGAATTTGATCTGCGGCCCTTCCACAGCTGTTGCATGCACATTGTTGGCCGACACAAATGCATGTCACTTGCACAAGTCAAGGAACATGCAGCCGCGGCAGCAGAAACGTCGGAAGATGAATCCTCAGCAACAACACTCAGCCTGCTGTCCGGGCAGAACAGCCGTCACATTAAAAAAACAAAGAAGACAAAGCTGCATGAGTGCTACATGGCATGATGACCTCCAGCGAAATCAACAGCATTAATTCTTGCTTTCCTGTCAGCCCAGATTCCGCTCGAAAGGGATTGGCCCAACCTTGCGTCGCAGTCGCGGATGTTTCAGAAAGGCTGGGAAAGGAGACCGATGCACAGACTAGGACACTACATGCCTGGCCACTGCCGTCTCTATGCAGCTCTCCAAGCACTGGCAGCAGGTGGCTGCCCAGAAAAACACGTGCACGCAGCTGGCTCTATACTCAGCTGATCACCGAGCCGCTGAAAAAAAGCAGGAACCTTGGTGAACGGTCTGTGAACGATTCACGAAGGGCAGCCCAGCTAGCGCTGTCTTTCAGGAAGAGCCGGGTCGTAGCGCGTCACACATGGTGCAATAGCTTGGGGCTCCCGAAGGTATGAACAAGGCTTGAAGATTCTGTCCAGCGCACATGCTCCACGAGACCCCCTGCACGTCCTAGTCTCAAACCAGTTCAGACCAGTCCAGCTGCAGGCAATGAATCTATAGAGATAATTTCTTGACTCGCATTCCAGCGAGGCCCGAGCTGGGTCCCGGCCGCGATACCTTCTACATGGTAGAGCCGAATAGGCCTCGTGGGCTCTGCACGCGAAACTCTATGGCAACGAAGGATGCAAAAGCACATGCTGCCACAGGCTATGGCAGCCTGCGTGTTGCATCCGCATTTCTGGATTGGCATTAAAGCGTGGGGCCCAGACAGTGCAGTCTCCAGAAGCCGTAACAAAAGAACCTGAGCACTAGGCAGAGGAACTGCGCAGCTGCAGTTGAACTGGGGATTACGTTTCTTCTTGACCTGTAGAACGTGACTTTGCCACCCCGCAAACAGCCGGAACATGGACAAACAAACCTTACTCTCAGCGCAGAAGGTTTGAGAGCCGGATAGCCATCCGACTCCGGAACGGATACCCTGAAACCTTGCCTCGACAACTGTCATAGCACCACTGAGAATAACGCGCATAGCCATCGAAGCACAGGACCTAGGTTGATTATGTCTTGTTCAGAAAGCCACCTACCGACCGGAAGCACTGCCTCTGAGTGGGAGGAAGGGCTGCAAAATGCAAAAGCTCCACAACTCTCTCGAGTGAGAGTTGAACACTTGAAGACAAGGTGCCGCAGGAGTGGAAAACACTCGCCGCTTCTTCGTCCTGTTTCTCGTTGGCCTGGCAATCACGCACAAAATAGCTTCTTGGAGTGCGGATTGCATTACAACAGTCCACTTAGCTACTTCGTGTCTTCGAGTGGGCTGAAGTGCGGGGGGCCAGGGCTCCTGCTTGTCTCGAGTCTCGAGGGTCTTTGAGCCAGGCGACTGCCTCCATAATGATTTGTTTCCTTTTAACTGCTCCAACATGCCACTGAGCAGAAGCGCAGCGAACAAGACCACATCATCGTGCAATCTGCTTTTGCAGATATGCAGCTCGTTCTGTAAACCAGACTGCAGACCCTTGGCTCCAGGCAACACCCGCTACAGTACCGAAGCTGCGCTAACATTTCGTTCCTAATTTTAAAAGAGGCAGCCAATGGTATCCGCAGGCGGCTGCAAACTTGAAACGGCGGTGCAATTCACCACGACGGGCTACCTCTAAAAGGCCAGCCTCTTTCAAGTGAAAATCCATGCATAGTCGCAGCAGGACTTTGAATCAGCTTTCCTGCGTCTGCGCGGGTGTTAGCGGGTGCGTGTGTGCGCATGTGTGCCCGTGCGTATATGTGCGTGCGTGCGTGCGTGTGTGTGTGTGGGTGGGT